TGCTCCCGCGCCTCGCTCAGCCAGTGAGCGGGAACCGGTCTGTATGTGGGATCCGAACCCTCGGGCGGGAGCGCCGCCGCACTTCCCAAGCGGCGCACTATCCAGTGCGCCACCCGGCCGGCCCCCACCTGCCTATCTTTTAAGTCTTCACTCAAAGGTTATGTCCTCTGTGAAGCCTTTTCCCACTAATCCAAACACAAAGCATAAGGCTTAATGATTCTTCTTTTATCTTCTCACTGCACCTTGTGTAGTCCCACCTAATGATAGTGCTCATTACACAGCATTGGAATTTATCTAGGTACATGTATGGCTCCCCCACAAAACTTGGAGCTTCTTGAAGACAGGGACCATATCTTCTTAATCATCTTTGCCTCCCTAGTACATTGTACAGTTTGGTATTTGAGTGGACACTTGAGAAATATTAATTGAACAAATGGGTTAAGGACCCTCATTTTTCCCCCATTATATAAAATTGGAATTAGATGATCTCCAAATGACCTCCCTTAAGTTCAGAGAACAGAGGCTCCCAGATGTTACCTCCACAATAACACATACTTAGAACAGATATGGCCACGTTCTCCTGGAGGTTTTCAAACAGTTGAATTCTTTTTTTTTTGTCTTTTTTCCGTGTCCGGCAATGGATTGCAACCCTCAGTGTCGCCCCCATACCAGACTGGGACCGGCAATGGGATCGCAACCCTCGGCGTTGCTCCCGCGCCTCGCTCAGCCAGTGAGCGGGAACCGGTCTGTATGTGGGATCTGAACCCTCGGGCGGGAGCGCCACCGCGCTTCCCAAGCGGCGCACTGTAGCAGTGTGCCACCGGGCCGGCCCAAACAGTTGAATTCTTAAAGGTATAAGGGTATCACATCATTAGGATGAGGTCTTCCCTACCAGCACCCCTTTTCTTTTTGCTCTGACAAATTGAGAATTATCTGACATTTTGTCTTGCTATACCTCATTAGGAATGCTTCCTCGAATTCAGATTAAGCTTCTCATTTTTCTGTTGATGACCTCATTTAACCCTCAATAACCCCAGGAAGTAGGTGATGTGACATTTATTTTACCAAGAAATTTGAGGACCAGAGAAGTTAAATGACTTGCCCAAGGTGATATAGTCTATATGTGGCTGAAGTGGGACTAGAAAGGTGTGCTGATTCTCTTCTTCAGTGTTTTTTCTACTCCACTGCTAAAGTTTGCATCTCAGAAACTACTAAGGTCATTAGATTTCCTTAGCCATAGGCTAAGGTCTGAAGTCTACACTATCTAGACATATTGCTCTGTTTTGTTGGCCCCTGCTCACCCACACAACCCCATTTCCCTTTTCTTTTTGTTCTGGTCCCAAGCCTCCAAGATTCTAGAGTCCCTCATAGCATCACCCTTGGCCGCAATCTTAGCTCCCAGGCCTGTGCCTCTCACCTTCACTGTACTGACATGCTTACAGACTCGTAGCCTCAGACCCCAGAGTATTTCCTGCTTGGAGCACTTCTGTAGCACAGAGTGCCAGGGACTGAACCTTACTAGTAGGGGATAAGACGCAGGGTCCAAGCATATAACATTCAAGGAACTCTTGGGGAAGAGGCCTGGGAGCTTGAACCCTAAACCTCTGAGGTGGGAGACAGCGGGAAGCAAGGAAAGCCTTGGCTGCTCTGCCTTAATCTTCTAGTGAAGTGTGTGAATATGAGGGTACATGTAGGGATGAGAGTTGAACTGTACAGTTATCGAGGAAACTGTCCATACTAATGCTTTTCTCCCTCCCTGAGATGCCAGAGAACTAACAAAGAGTAAAAAAAAAGAAAAGCTTAGTTTGGCTGTATACTAATTAACGTTTCTTAGTGAGAGCTGCTTAATCAGCAACTCAGAGGGCTTATTTTCCTATAGGTCTAATCTGATTACAATACCTAATTCTGTTCTTTAATGCCCAGTCTTTGAAGTAGCCTGCATGGCTATCAAGGGACAACTTGAGGAAACAGTAGCCTCAGCCCTACAGATTCCCTTAAGGCACACTGTTTGCCACTGTGTTAGGCTATTCTGGAAAAATAGAGAGTAGTCATTCTCGGGTTTTGAAACACACCCGAAAAGAGGCAGTTTCTCTGAGACTGTTTTTTCATTAGAATCCAATCAACATCATTCTTTTTCTAGCAATATGCAGTAGAAACTTGTAGTCCTATGTCTAGTCTGGGAGAACAGGCTCAAAGTAAGGCCGGTTTGGAAATCTTTGCTGCTTTAGTGTACTTGCCAGCCAAAGTCATCAAAGAAGAAAATTCAACCTTGGGGTCCAAGCATGAGCTTAGAAGCAAGGCTCTTGCTAGTTTAAATTAAGCTTAGTTAAAGCAGCGGCTTAAAACACTCAAGCCTTATAATAATGAGCCACCATTTATAGAGCATCAACTATGTTTCAGTTACCATATTATGTACTCTTTATACATAAACTCTACATTGATAACAATTTGCAAAGTAGTGATTGTTCTACCATCTCTACAAATAAGGAAAGAGAAGCACAAAGAAGGCACATGTTTTGCTCAAGGTAACACAACTAATGCATAGCTAGGATTCCAAATGAGATTCTTTCATCTGAATGGGTGCCTAGTACAGTGCTTCGTACAGGATAGGAACTCAATCTGTTCAGTGAGCAAATTATTTTAACTAGTAGGTGATTATTGATGACATGAATAACAGTTCTTATGAATGTGGTAATCAGCTTTCTTTTGAAGCTATTCTTTTAAATGACTCCTGGTTGGAGATCATTTACTCTGGCAAGCTAGATAGTGAATTGATATTGGCTTACAGAATTCTCAAAGTAAGGAGAGGGCTTCCCATCCAGGGGTTGCCAAGGAAAGCAAGTGATCCTGTCATACAAATTCTGCTGTAGGGATTTGCACTAGGTTATTGTCAAGACCACCATATTAGAAATCAGAGGGTCTGAGCTCAAGTTCTGGCACCATTTGTTCAGTGGCCAAATAGAGCAAGTTAGTTACATCTCTTTGAACCTTGGCATGTAAAATGGAGATAATAGTCCCTATGATTTACAGGACTGTTGCGAGGATTAAGTGGGATCATATACATGAAAAGGTTCTTTATCCCATAAAATGAGACAAGTTAAATGTTTGGAAACTGCTTGGGAAGATCAAACTTTGAATCTTAGTCAAGCACATGACATCAAGACATCAAGAACTAAACAACTTTCTTTTTTTCTTTTTTGTATTTTTTCCCCTCACTGTGTGAACCCTTTGTTTTGGCACAGTGCACATCCAGCCAGAGTCCTTGGGCTTCCTTCCCAGTGAACTTATTGGCTAGTCAACCTCAGCTTCCTAAGTTGGGAAGGTGTTAGGGAGAGTCTAGTGGCTACGACTGGGCCTTGTGAATTGGAAACACAAAATAGGGGCTTGATGGCCAACCTGAAATCACTTTAAAAGCAGTAAGCCCACCGTATGACCCAAATGGCCTTCAGGGAGGTCTTGGCTCCCAACTGTAAAGCCCAGGGCTACAGAGCTACAGGGGCACTACAGACTACGGGTGGACTGAGATGATGAGGGGATTTGGAATCAGAAGGGGATCTGGGTTCAAATTCTGGCCCAGCTACTTTCTGGCTGTGTAACTGTAGGCCAATCACATCATTTCTAAGAGCTTTAGTGTCTTTGTCTATAAAACAGGGGAAAGAACCCCTATGTAAAGGGATTCTTGTAAGAATCAAATCAGGTAATGCATATGAAACTGCTCGGTTCACTACAAATTTCTATCTGAATTTTTACTGGAAGGCAGGTTAATCTTTGACCCCACAAGAGGGGGTTTAGTTGTTGATATTTCAAAAGAATCTTTGAATCATATAATCTCAAAACTAGGAAAACCTTCAAAGAGCATATACTTCACTGGTTTTCAAACTGTGTTCCCTTGAGCCCTAAGATTCTAGAAAAGTGACCTGGGGTTTCCCTGGGTTGGCATTGGGGAGGCTGGGCTGGTGAGGCTTAGGCCACGGATTATGGCTTTAAATCAAACTGGCTACACTTGTATCTGTGTGCAATGCTTTTGAGAAATGAAGTGTTTGGCTGCTAAAGGAAATCGTGCATCATTGGATAGAGGATCTCTAAAGCTTCCTGAACTTGCAATATTTTAATAATCAGACTTGTTTAAGCAACAGATGACCTAGAAAGGAAGTGAGTTCTCCATCACTGGAGGTATCCAATGTGCAGTTAGGCAAACACTTGGTAATTCTTTTACCTTCACCTATCCTTTCCCCCTACTATGAGTCCTAAGGTCGTTTAAAGAGCACTAAGAGTTCCTTGAAGCAAAATTTGAAAACCAATTTAGTCCAAACCACCCTTTACACATTATACAGATGGAGAAACTGAGACCCAGAAGGTGAAGGGATCACACAATGAGTTACTAGCTGAGCAAAGACTAGAACCCAAGTATTCTGACTCCCAACTCCATGTTCTTTCTACCATACCATATTATAAGAGCTCCCGTGGTATGGCTCCTGAGAGTGACATTGAAGACATAATGACAGTCAGGCTAGAGATCATCTTTAGGGTGAGCTTGTGTGTGCACACATAGATGAGCATCCTAAGGCATATGTGGGTATGTCTATGTTATTCGTGATTGTAGGAAGCTTTGCTGACCACGTCTGTGGGTTGAACATGAAAACATGACTGCTATGCATCAATGTGAGTCATATGTGACAGTCCATAATGCTGTCCTTTTTCTTGCTTTCTGAGTCCCAATTCCCTTATGTTTAAAATGAGGATTATACCAACCCCTCCCCCATAGGGTTATGATGAGGATTGCATGAGTTAATGGGCAGTAAAGGACTCATAGGAGCATTCACTAAATATTATCTCCCTTATTTCACGTTTCCACTTTTCCTTACCAGGCAAGGCTTTGGCCCACTTGACTACATGTACAAGCTGTCTTTCACCCAGTTCATTGAGGCTAGACAACAAGGCAGCAAAGGAGTCCGGCTGGTTGTTGTCATGTCCAGCACACACTATGCCTGGTTCAATGGCTTCCAGGACATTCAGAAAGATGGGCTGACACTCATAGCCTTCAATGTGTGACACTGTCAGCTTCTGGGTTGGCTCCTCAGTGGGGCTGGTGGCACTGGAGGTCTCCCCTTCTTCCTGTATTTTCAGATTACCTAGTTTCTTCAGCTTCCGGGCTGTTAGGAAGAAAGAAAAACGAATTTATCATCAATGGCCAAAAACACACAGCACAGCTATATGTTAGAAAAACTGCCTGAGCTAAGAAAATATAGATGTTCATTCTCCTTGGTCACAGACTCTAAACTCCTCAAGGACAAGTGCTCACTCAACACTAGTTGAATTAATGATTCATCATCCCAAATCCCTGCTAAACCCAGTTTCATATCTTGCTTTCTCCCTGATCCCCAGGCCAGACTAACCTAGTATATCTTTGGATTCAGCTCTGCCTGAATGTAGCCTTCAGTACCCATACCTGGGATCTTCAATGAACTCATTTCCTAATACATTCATCATTCATTCATTCATTCAATGTGCATTCATTTTTAGACCTATGCTTCTGGGTTACAGAAAGGACACAGGCCCTGCCCTAGTCTGGTAGAGGAGAAATAAATGCCCACAAACAATTCTAGAAAATGTCAGACTGGTAAATGCTGCAACGGAGGTATCAACAAAAGAGGAGAACAACAATTTCTATGCGTAAGTGGGGTTAGGAAATGCTTTACATAGAAAGTGGCATCAGACCTACAGCTTGAAGACTGATGAGGATTTCACCAGGCACAGATGGGTGAAAAGGGAATATGCAAAAGCACTGAATAGTGTTTTGGGGAACAACTAGAGACCAGTGTGGCTGGAGTATATACTGCATATGTAGGGAGGGTGGCTACTTATGATGTTGAAAACCAATACAGGGCCTGATTTTAAAGGGGCATGTATATCATTTTAAGAAGTTTGGGCTTAATCTTAGAGGTGACAGGCAAATACTGAATGCCTTAAAACAAGGGAATGGTGTACACATGTCTATGTCTATCATATCTAGCATATTGCTAGGGAAAGAGAATAGAAACTCAGAACTGTTGAAGAATGTGTGTGCCTCCTCTCCCCCCCCCCCCCCCAAACACATTTTGATAGTTAAAGTTCTCTGAAGACGGAAAGGTTGCCAGGCACTCATGTCACTGGAGATGATCAGAGACTACATGAACAAAGGTTAAGCATTCAAGCATCAGACGGGAATCGGATTTTTAAAAATGGCCTTGAAGGTCCCTTGCATCCTCACACTACCAAATTCTATCCCATTCTGCACTCAATTAGCAGGAATTTGCTGGTGTTCCATTTCCCACCGAACACTATAAACAGTCTCAGATGTTGTCAGAATCACACCTGTAGTTGAACATGCACTGTAATACACATATTGATTTTCTTCTTTAGCAAAGGGTAGAAGGGAAAGGTGAAGGGCTGAAATCCCCAGTACTGTAGTATCAAAGAAATGACAGAATGTCTCTGCCTCTACCATCTGTCTGTAAAATGGGAACTATCATAGGATAGGAAGCAACCATTAGAAAGGATGATAGAAATAACATTATTTAGAACAACCACAATAATTCAAAATTCAAACCTTAAGAACCATCCTCCCCACATGCTCAAAAACACAATTTAGATGTCCTTGGGCATCCTGACGTTTACTTTGTGCTATTTTCCCTAGCATTTATATCGACAGAAATATAAATAATTGAAAAGGTCATAACTCTGAAATCTAGCATAGGCAGTTGCACCAGGGCAGATCATAAACCACTTTATCTCTAATCCCTTTAAAATAATAATAATAAATAAAAAGGTATAAAACAAAGACAGAAGTTGATTCCTCAATTTAAATTGATAAATACAACTAAACCTACAGCTCATTTGTTTCTGGCTCGTGCAGAAAAAGATGTATCTGGAACTGATTTTCAGCTCTAATTAGAAAAATAAGTCCTGCAGTGAAAACTCCAATCATAGTGTCACTCAGTAAATTAGTGCAAGAATGGATCATGTGTTTGGATGAGCAACTAGAATAGGGAAGAGGAAAATAGTGGGGTTCATGGTGCAAGAGAAGCACACAGAAGAAGTTAGGGGAAAATAACGAGGAAGCCTGGAATACCAACCGTGCGTGCAAGATGACCTTGTCCAACAATAATTTCTGCAGGGCCTGGGCACAGCCAGTAATGAAGAGATATGCACATCCACTGCCAACTCCCACCTCCCACCAAGGGCCCAGGTTGTAAGGTATGGTCTGGGCCAAGCCCATCTTCTCCTAGAGCTAGAGGCTTAGCCCCCACAATATCTTGTCATGTGGTAAACACTTTGCTAACATGGGTTCTTGTACACAGCTCCATAGACTGGTGATGCCTGTAGGATCTGCTCCCCTGCCACCGTTTCTACAGGCAGATCTACCTTCCCCATCACTGATACTTTCTAGCCTTGAGCTCAGGAGTTGCCAGACCACGTAGTCCCCCTTCCAGCCTGGGAGAGGACAGAGGTCTCATTAGCCCTATGCCTGAGGTAATTAAGAGAAATAAGGGTAACTACTATTTTTCACATTATATCATTTAATTACATAGTGATCTTAAGAGGTTAGAGATATTTCTTATCCCTGTTTGGCAAATGAGCAAACTGAGGTAATGCAGCTACCAGGAAAGAGAACCCAATAATCTGAACCTGCTCTGCTGACTACAAAGGCCATATTCTCTCTACTATATCATGTTGCCTCCCCAAGGAATCTGAAGCCCTGAACCCTACTTCTAGCCTAAAAGCAGAATTGAGAAGTGGGACTAGGGTTATATCCTTTTTGTCTCCCTTCATCACCCTTGCCTCCAAACTTCAGTAACTACCATCAAATTCAGAAGGGAAGATATAGGAAGCTATGAGATTTTTCTAGTCATCTGCCCAAACTGAAACAGATTTAGGGAGGTATAGTGGCTTAAAGATTCACAAGATGACAAAACAGGAAGGGTCTTTAGAGATCATCTTATCCAGGGGTCACAGATTCAGATACCTTCAAAGTCTACACAAGTAATATAGTGGTGGGTGTCTGTGTGTGCATGTGTGTGTAGGAGAATGGTTCGCACTCTGGTGAACTGGAATGAATGCTACACACACACACACACACCTAGAAGGCATTCTTATAACATTTAAAAATTTTCCTGAAACTCGCATATTCCAAAGTTGAATTCAGTCCTTAGCCACCATTTTGAGACTTCTGACACTAGTTTAACTTTTCAAATCAAAGATGTTCCAGAAGGCTGAAGCCAGAGAGAGTTAGGTCACCCAGTGGCAGAGCTGGGATTAAAACCAGGGCTTTTATTCCTAATCCAGATCTCTCTGTCACATTGGCTCCCTTTTTAACTAATTCATTCCTCCTCTATCTCAGTATGTGCCTCTTTGAGCTCCTTCTAGACTTGCACTGTCCAATACAGTAGCCACTAGCCACATGTGGCTATTTAAATTTAAACTAATTAAAATTAAAGAACATTAAAAATATAATCTCTCATTCTCACTAGCCACATTTCCAATATTCAAGAGCCACATGTAGCTAGTGGCTGCTCTATTGGACAAAACAGATATAGAATATTTCCATCATCTCAGAAAGTTCTATTGAATAGTGCTGTGAGTATGAGGGTACTTCAGAAAGTTTGTGGAAAAATAGAATTAAAAGATAATACGAATCTTTCCATGAAGTTTTTGAAGTACCCTCGTATAGACTGTTTTCTGGGGCAGCTGTCCCATTTGCCATACTCTACTAAAGCTATTGATAAAGAAGAAAAGAATCCAAATAAATTATATACAGATAAATCCATGGGTTTTTTTCAAAAGGTGTAGGGACACACAGAGCAACTGGTGCTGGTGTGATGAGTGAGATATGATCTGTCACCTCGACTATCCCACTAATGACTCAGATCTCAGTGGGGTGATGACTCGTGGACCTAAGCAAACTCATTACAAGCAAGATCAATATGTGCAGAGACTGTGGGGAGAATCCATAAAGATGAAATTATTCCCTTTTCTCTGTGTAGTGCCAAAGAGAACTTGGCTGGTATTTTCACATCCTCCTCCCCTAGACCTATATGGCATCTGCTTGAGAAAGAAAAGCCACATTCCCACTTGCCTCCAGGACCCTGATAATGTGCTGTCCCTGTGGCCACAGTGGACCAAGCTGCACCAGGTGTTCTGGCCTCTCTGCCTGAAGAGGGTGACTGTACTGAACGTAATTGAAATCAGATTCCATTCATTCTGCCAGAGGATCCTCTGTTCTCTCTCCACAGGAGAGGCCAGCATGTTGCTAGACAACTTGGAATGCTGGACAATAAGGCTTGCTAGTCTCAGCTGTTACTCAATATCCAAGGCCTTGTTTTCTTCCATGAAGGCCGCCTCCATGCCCCTCCCGCCCCTTGCACCTGAGCCCCCGAGTCAAATCTAACTCTTCCATGTGAGGTACAGGCCGGCCAGCCACTGTGTCAAGGCAGAGACTCATTGGTTTACTTAAGTTCAGTGGTGAAGCAAGGAGAAAGGGTGCACTAAAGGTGAATAGCTCTAATAGTATGTGAGTTGCTCGGCATCTCTTCTCTTTTAGTCTTGGGTCAGAGCAGTGTTAAGAAAGGGTAACTGGCAAGGTGCTTCCCCGTCCCCACCTGATCTTTAGGGGATTGGAGCACCTGGCGTGATAAGGTGTCTAAATCCTATGGAGAACTCACTTTTCAGTCCCGGGACATTAGACTCCTATGGGGTCTGTCTCCACAGCACCAGAGAAAGATTTTTTTCAAATCAGGTTCCATGGTGCATTCCTAAGGAGGAGCAGATGTGATTAATTTGTTAGGTCTCTAGCCTCTGTGACCTTTAGGTACTTTTCTAGCCTCATTCTTTGCCACCCCAAGATACAGGCCTGCTCACCCATGGGCAAGGGAGAGGTGAAAGTGAGGTGAAGTTTTCAAAGTCTTAGAAAGTTTGAATGCCTCTGCCTAAGGTCATGGATATTTCTCTTCCCCATATCTCTCCACAGAATTGGGATGATAAAAGAATCACCTTCTGTGGTAGGCTGACTTCTAAGATGGCCCCTAAAATTCTGAGGCCCTGGAGAACACATACTTCCTTCCAGGTATTCAGTCAAGCACTAACCTAAGTGCGGTGTGAAAAGATTGGGCACATG